ACCGCGCGAGCCCCGTGTGCCGCTCACCCCTCGCCGCTTGATGGCGTCCCGCAGAAGGCCCACGATGTTGTTCCCTTCAGCGCCTGAGGCTTTGAAGCCCTTGGTCCAGTTGAGCAGGATGCCCTGCGGGGCGGGGCGAGGGTTAGCGCCGGGCGCCCCGAGCGGAGGAAGCAGAGCGCGGAGCAGGAAGTTCGCGGGTCCCAGTGGCTGCGGGCGGCGCAGGGCTGCTAATGCGTTCCCCTGGGGGCAGTTCCACCTCCCACCGCCAGGCAGCCCTGGGGCTGGAGGAGACCTGAGGGCAGCCAGTCCGGTCCCCTGCCCTCATGGCAGGACCACGTGTGACCTAGACCAGCCCGACAGGGCTTTGAATAAGCTGCTCATAAACATCTCATTGCCCCGGCTACTTCTTCCGGCGCAGAACCACCCAGGCAGGGAGTGTTCCCTAATGTCCAGCCTGAACCTCCCTGGCTGTACGTCAAGCCCGGTGCTGCCTGTCCTGCCCTCAGAGGCCGAGGGGAACGATTTGTCTCCCTCCCCCTTGTGACGCCCTTTCAGATACTTGAAAGCCGCCATCACGTCCCCTCTGTCTGCTCCTTTCCAGACCAAACAAGCCCAACTCCTTCAGTCTTCCCTCCGAGCTCGTGTCTTCTAGACCTTTCATCATGTCTATTGCTCTTCTCGGGACCCTCTCCGACCTGCCCGTCTGGCCCAGAACGCGGTGCCCCACACAGGACACAGCCCTCCAGCGGAGGCCTCGCCCGGTGTCTGAGATCTGGGGTCAGCGTGCGAGGGAGCACGCGGGTGTGGAGAGGAAGCAACGAGTGTGAACGTGACAGGGGATCAGTCACTGCTCACCTCTGAATAAAGACGCCAGCCCTATGAAGAAGGCCAAAGGTATTGCGGCACCTAACTCCCATTGAACCCAATGGGGCTTAGACACCTTTGTGGGTCTGGGCCCAAGTGTTTAAGGGATGTGGAGCTCCCCCTGCATGTGACTGCCCTGGGGAGGCTGGGTACAGCTCCGTGGCCCAGTGGGTGAAGGGGCGATGGAGATCGGGGGGGGGTCCCTCGGGTTTTCCTAGTCGCTCTTCCCCCTGGCCCGCCCTGGGCTCACCTTGTCAATGTCCTCGTGCCTCACGGGGAAGGAGAACGTAAAGCCCAGAGGCAGCTTTTTGTGTTTCATCTGGTGCTTGTCCAGGAAGTCGGAGATGCACTCGGAGATGTAATCGAAGAGCTGGAGAAGGGAGGCCCCAAGTCACCCCGGAATCACGAAATCCTGCCCGCCCCCTCCTGCCTCCGGGACCCCACTGGCCTCCTCCAAGGGACGTGTCATCCTGGGACACCCGGGTCCACACCCCCGTTCTCTAGCCTCTCGCCGGGTCACTCACAGCCTTGCCATTGGACCTCGCCTCAGTGGCTGATTGCTCCCCAGAAACCTTGCCCCCCATTCCATTTTCCATGGCGTGCACCCTAGAGACTTGCAGATGCCTGCAGGGACACACGCCCCGCCAGAAGGCACCCTACCCTTGAGATAGTGTCACGGCCCAAGCAACGGCTTGGGAGCGCTGCAAAATCCGGGCTCCCGGGTAGCTCTTCCACCCACACCCCTTCTGCTGCGCCGGGGCCTGCAGCCACCCGTCCTCGCTGGAGGCGCAGAGGAAATGAAAACGGTGGAGAGGCAGGGATGGGGCAGAGCCGCTGAGTTTAGCTCTGCCCCACACCCCATTGTCTGCACCTCCTGGCCCTCCTCTGACTTGCAGGGTGGAGATTACTCTGGGGTAGAGCTGGGTGAAATGTTAGCAGTCAAAACTGGTTTTTTTGAGGGGGGGGATGCAGACTGAGGTCAGCCGTGCCATTTCATTAATTTGGGCCACATTCTGCAACGTGACACTTTGCTGTGTGTGTGCCAGGCGAGCGGCGAGACGACGTCCCTGCCAAGTTGCGGGCGGAATAGAGGGTCGTACGAGCAGCATCACGTTCCGGGAACTCTCCCGAGCTCGGTGACTGGGGAGGGCTGGAACTGGAGTCGAGGGATGGTACGATTCCGGGGGGTTATTTTGAAATGTTATTGGTGCTGTCTTCCCCGTCCCATAGCTAAGTATTTTGTGTTCCTAGTAGTGGCTATTTTAACGCAGCCGGCAAAAGTAACAATTTACACCCTTATCGTGTCTCTCTGAGCATGAAATATGAATCAGTGGCAAAAGTAACAATTCACACCCTTATTGTGTCTCTCTGAGCATGAAATATGAATCAGCCTGATGGGAGGGAGGCAGTAAAAGGATTAAACGGGGGATCCAAACAAAAGACTCAGACTTTCCAGGTGTGTCAAAATCTACACAGGCAGAGACCTTTGCTCCTAAAGACCCAGAGGAGAGGTGAGAACTGGGCTGTAGCCCTCAACACAAAGGCTCTTTAGCAAACATGGAAACAAAGAACTAGCTGTTTTATGGCCTGGATGAAGGTAAATTGTATTCCACCCAGTTGACAATGGGCTATCTAACATCCTGGTACCCCGATCCGAGGGGCTTAGAGTGTATTGCCTGCCACATCAGCCATCTGAACAATTATTTATTAATAGAGCCCATCAGAAAATGGGAAATGTCACGTTTTTTGGTTAAAAAAAAATCCAACCCATTTCAGTTTGGCAATGGCTACTGCAGTGCCTCATGGGAGTTGTAGTTCAGGTCTTTCATCTTCCCATTCTGCTCCACAGGCTGGGCTCCGCAGCCAGGCTACATCTCTTAGGATGCCCCACAGTCTCCCTTCTTGGTGCATGGAGGTGGTTCACTGTGGCAGTGGCATGGCCATGGTGCATCATGGGAGATGAAGTCCCGTCCAGCCGTAGAAGAACATACGAGTATTGGACAAGCAAACTACAACTCCCAAGAGGCCACCCAGTAACATTTCCGAATTGGAAATGTTACAGGTGACCCTGTGTTACAGACGTCCCCGTGGATTGAAATGTTCCGTGTTGGAGCGTTCTTGTTTTGACCCTTCCTCCCCGAACCCCACCCACCAATATTTTTTGTGCAAAGCAAGAAACTTTTCGGGACAATATTTATTTTGCCTAAAACCCAGTTTTCCATCCACAGTTTCAATAGACTTTTTTTTTTTTACCAAACCTATACAAATTATGCCAGAAAAAAGGCGCAGTCTGTCTGGTCTTCCATCCTAAAGTCACTGTGAGCTTTTGAGCTCTTCAGGACCCTGCTTTAGTTTGTGCTTGTCCAACGGTAGAGAACCCTGCTCTGTCCTCGGGGTTCTGTCTCTTGTTTTCATGAAGGATAAACCATTAAAAGCCAACTAGGATGGATCCCTAAACTATGTGGTGCAAAAAGAACATGTGCTGAGCTGGGGGCATATAAAGTTTTAGTGGCCTGCACAGCTGACTCATGACTTCCTCCAGGAGTAACAACTACATGCACCTTCGACACACCACTGCAGCTGGGCAGAATTTTCAGGAAAATCATTGGTTCACCCCAAAAAATGCAGTTTTGAGTCAACTAAAACTATTTGTGAGTTCAGGTCAAAATTGGCCAACAGTTTTGGCCATGCACACCCACAAAAAGGGGGAAATGAAGAAACAAAGAGCGTTCAAGTAAAGTCAAACCCTTTTGCTTTGACAGGTTTGAAACAAAACAGTCCTTCAACTTTTCATTTCAAACCAAAGTTTCTTTTGAAGTTTAGTTGGATTTTTTTTAAAGGGGCAAAAAGACTTGAAACCCCAGCGGCCCAAACATCACAGAATTTCAAGAAACTGAAACTTGTTTGGGACATACCCAAATGTGCTGCTGAACAGCAAATCAAATGTTCGGGGGCTTTTCATTTTGGTGAGAAAAACTGGAAAATTTCCCTGTCGGTTCTATCTGAGCAGTGGCACGGGGGCATCTGTAAGAGTAGGGGTGCTGACATCGCCTCCCCCTGGTCCTGCCCCACCCCAGCTGAGGTTAGGAGCAAAGCCCTGGTGAAAAGGGCAGCAGCCGGGACCCCAGGTGTGTGGTCAGTAGCAGAGCCCCTGGCAGCTGGGGTACAGCAACACCCCATGCACCCGCAGTTCCGATGCCTGCGCCTCCGAGACAGCCACTGAGCCAAAAAAATCAACGATCTGTTTGGCTACAACACCGAGCCTGAATCCGGGAGCCTGGCTACAGCGGATTCCTTGGAACGTAGGCATGTGCCCCTGCCTTACTGTCCCCATTAACCCTAATAGCCCGTGGGAAGTGGACCCTCCCCCTCTGAAAGAGCCAGCCGGGGTTGGTTAGCTCTAGAAAAACAATCCGGCCTCTTGGACCATTCCTCAGCTCCATTCACATCGCTCCGTGGCCACCGCCTGCCCACGCCTCTCGGGCACCCCTGCCAGCCTCTTGTTTTCCAGCCCTTCCGGCCCAGCGCCCACTCACCATTTCGGCCGTGCCCGTCATGGCGTCCTCTGGGATGGAATACATCTGGTGCTTGGTCGACACGCTCCACTGCCCCTCTTCCCCTTCGCCCACTTTCACCAGCATCACTCGGAAGTTGGTACCTCCCAGATCCAAGGACAGGAAGTCCCCGACCTCTGCAACGCCGGGGGGACACGCGTCAGCCCGGGAGCCACTAATAACCAGCTGCCACGAGCACGGGACCCATCCGGCTCCATGTCCTTCCTCTCCCCGGACAGGCACCTCTCAGTAGCCAGGTGACTCTGGCTCCAGTGTTTGTGTCTATCATAGCGCCTCCCAAAGTTCCCAGCGAGGCACAACGAACTGAGGGACTAAGTGACGTGCCCCATGCAGGGACCAGACCTCGGGGCTTCCCTGGCCCCAGCCGACTGCTCACTCAGTGGAACACTTTGAAACTGAGCCCATCAGAGTCCCGTGAAGGCCCCACCAAGAGGGCTATTGGCCATCGGCTCCGTCTGGGGCGTGGTGCACAGCCTGGCACTGGGGGTCACCCTGCGGAAAGGGCTGCTCTGGGCCAGACAGCTATTGGACGGGGTGTCGTAATCCCTAGAGGAGCTTCTCGGGCGGAGGCTCTCCTGGCGGCCGGACCATTGGAGGACAGACTTTAAAATCTAGGAGCTAAAGTTCCCCAAGGCCCATTCTGCCCCCTGCTCCCAACAAGCCCCTCTCCAGTGAGTCCCTGTCGCCTTCCCGGAAGGCGTCGGAACCGCTGGAGCATCTGGACAAACGGGGGCGGAGAACGACATTGCCCGTGTCTGGCGTTACATGAAACGAAGCCGAACCGCTCGTTGTCTTGGGTTTGCACAAGGCTAGTGCAATGGGGCCTGGCCCAGGACGGAGCTTCTAGATGCTACAAAAATAACCATAGAAAGAAGGGCTGAAAATGTCCCCCCGAAAACATTTTTCTGATGGAAACCTGGGGCTTTGATTCAATGGAAATTTTCATGGAAAATGTCTGGATTTGGGGGGAACGTTTTGATGTTTTCCACCAAAAGGACTGGAAAAGTTCCATCCAAAACCAAACCCCCATCCCCCAACCTGTGGAAAATTTCAACTTTTTGTCAAAGGCCAAACCCTGAAAAACGGGCTAAAAATCAAAAATAGTTCTGCCAAGAAGTTTGTTTTTCTGCTGAAATTTTGGGTGGAGGGGAATTGACCAAATATTCCCCAGAGCGTAGCCACAAGTGCTTGCTTTTGCAACACTGTTCATGGGGAAAAGATCCCGTTTTCCGACTGACTCTGGCCCTGACGTATCAGGTTGGCTGCATGGCTGCGGAAGAAGACCCGGACCCCTAGGCAGACTTGCCTGTCTTCTCCCTGCTGCGCGTCCCTCCGCTGGACGACTCTCAATGGGGCGTTCACCGGCTGGGCTCTGTTTGGCGAGGCCAGTTTATGGCCAGCCCCTTTGGTCAGGAGCCCAGCCCCAGCCCTGATGCCCACACGGTGCCCGTCACCCGTCTCTTGCTGCTGCTGGAGGCCGGCGAGTGGAGAGGGGCCCCTCAAATAACCTGTGGGACGGCTTGATGCTGCGAGGGGCTGGGCACCCCTTGGGAAAGGCAGAGCCTCCTCAACTCCCGGACGTCACGTGCACCGGGGGGCGCTCTGTGCCCTCAGCATGGCGGCAGGACGGAGCTTCGCCAGGCCACTGGGCCCTCGCTACCCCTTGGATGGAGTCCAGGGCCAGCCGGGGTGATGGATTCCTGCCCCTGCGGTGAGCAGCGCCCCCTCGGGGTGGCAGGAGGGAGACCAAATTCTTCCCCCAGGCTGGGGGGGTCCTTGTCTCTCTAGAGGCCTCTGTGGCCCCCGGGAGCAGCGAGAGCGGTAGGTGCGGGAGACCGGGCCACATCTTACCTGAGCCCTCGGGGGTGGAGCGTACGTAAGTGGGCAGCATCTTCACCGAGGCTTCCTCGTGCGTCTCCAGCTTCAGCCCCCGGTCCATTTCCTTCTGCATCCGGCGCATCACCGTCTTCAGGTCCTCCTCCTGCAGCCGGAACTCCGACAGGATCTGCTCCACCTGCGGCAGCAGAGGCAGGTAAGCGGGGTTTGCTTTGACACAGATCCCCAAACACTGAGCAGCCTGTTTGTTGCATCCACTTACACCCGGCCTCCCGCCCAGGCGCCCGGCTGCGGTTTCCTGCAGGCGGGGAGCTCCTGGGAGGAAGGGCTGAATTCAGGTCTCCCGGCCGCCCAGGAGAAAGGGGAAGCCTAGAATCCAGCAGGAGCAGCTGAAGAGCTGTCCAGAAAACCAACTCACCAGCCCGCCCCAGCCCCTTTGGACTTAGCACCGCCTGGGGCGAGGGAGGTGGGGAGCCCGGGGTGTCCTGCCGCACAGCCCTTCCGCTCCGGCGTATTGTGAACTGTAGTAATAATACGACTTGCAGGGCTTCTGTTAAACGGTTGATTCATGTTTAATTAAAATCCCTTTAATCAAGGTTCTTTTGGCCCACTGGCTATTGGATTAGAAGAAGCCACCCCAGTGAGATTTCGCTGCTCTTATTTCAGAGCCTAAATGGCTAAAAGGTAGCTCGTTAATTGTACTTCCCTAACATGCTAAACACCATGAGAAGCAGGTGGAGATCAGACCATGAACCCAATGAACCTCTCCAGGAGTTAACAATCATACAGGGTAAAGTGGCTAACTGACAATGACAAGAAGTTGAAACTTGAGACCAACAATGGATTCAAATCATTGCACGATTAACCCTTGCATTACGAAACCAAGAGAGCACCACTAGCCACAGGGCTGCATTGTTCCATCTTGAGCCTTTCCCTTGTGGAAAGAACAGGTTAACGTTGGAATTTGTATAAACCCAGGTGGCCCTCAGTGATCTGCGATAAGATTTGCTTGAATCTAGGTTCATCTCTGCCCAAAGGTAATTTCGTACCATGGTCTCTCTCTTTTAGAATCACAGAGGCCTCAAGAGTCACCGAGTCCAGCCCCCTGCCCAAAGCAGGACCAACCACAACTCAATCATCCCAGCCAGGGCTGTGTCAAGCCAGGACTTAAAACCTCTAGGGACAGAGATTCCACCTCCCTAGGGAACCCAGCCCAGCACTTCCCCACCCGCCTAAGGAAATAGTTTCTCCTAATAGCCAATGTAGACCTTCCGCGCTGTAACTTGAGACCATTGCTCCTTGTTCTGCCATCTGCCCCTACTGAGAACAGCCTTTCTCCATCCTCTTTGGAACCTCCCTTCCATAAGTTGAAGGCTTCTACCAAATCCCCCCTCGCTCTTCTCTTCTGCAGACTAAACAAACCCAACTCCCTCAGTTTCTCCTCATAGGTCATACGCTCCAGCCCTCTCATCATTTTTGTTGCCCTCCACTGGACCCTCCCCAATGCATCCACATCCTTTCTGTAGTGGGGCCCAAAACTGGACACAATGCTCCAGATGTGGCCTCACCAGAGCCGAATAAAGGGGAAAAGATCTGACCCGCTCTTCTTCCAATGACCTTGCACTCTCCTACAAGCTAGCCCCCAAATCATTTTAGTTGTCCTCCGCTGGCCCCTCTCCAACGCGCCCACGTCCTTTCTGTAGTGGGGGCCCAGAACTGGACACAACACTCCAGCTGTGGCCTCGCCAGTGCTGAATAAAGGGGAATAATCACTTCCCACAATTTAAGGGAGAAATGCAAACTGGTCTCATCCCATAGGACCTCCATGGAGATCTGGGAAAATCAGGTGATCATAGCTTTTGTACCCCACCTGCACTGTCCCATCCTGATCAAGAGAGATCAGGCTGGTCTTTCCTCTCCTCTTGGACCCTCCTTCCGAGGGATCTGCTTCTTTGTGACGTCCACAAGACCACGGGTTTACCCCCAACAAGCAATAAGAAAATAACTGGAACTGATGCCTCCATCAAAACTGTCTCAAGTCCTCGTGGGTTATAAGAATATTAGTGGCCACACTGGGTCAGACCAAAGGCCCATCCAGCCCAGCGTCCTGGCTGCCAACAGTGGCCAAGGCCAGGTGCCCCAGAGGGAGCAAACAGATCCGGGAATCCAGTGGTCCCTCCCCTGTTGCCCATTCCCGACGAGGGACACCCTCCCGGCCCTGCCGGCCTAATCGCCATCGACAGACCTGACCGCCAGGAATGTACCTAGCTCTGTTTTGAATCCCGTTACGGTCAACAACCAGAGCTTCTCAGAGGGTTCTTGGCCATTGGGGTCTGGCCGCGTCCGGTCAGAGCCCCTAGCCCCTTGCTAACCCACAAAAGGGCTCCGTGGGGTCTTCACTCACAAATGACACAACGGTTCCCTGTCTGGAAATCTGAGCCCCTGCGCGAGCGGCGGCTGCTTTGAAAGCGACTCGAAAATCCGACGACCGTAAAGATAAAGATGCGACAAATCCTGTCCAGCCAATTCATGTGGATGCTCAGTGCCCCGTGTGCTGTGGCCTTCACGGCTGGCACTGTAATCCCCCCCCCACCCAGTGTTTACCTCCCAGCACGCGGTGTGATAACGAGCACATGATAACATTTATCTGGCAGTCTGGGCTCTGAATTAACAAGCCCCCTGGGCTGATCTGTCTTTTGTAATGTTGGAATTGGCACCAGTCTGGCTGGCTGCAATGTTTCCCGGAGGTCCTGTCCCAACGTGTCCTTGTCCAGAGGGCCAAGATCTCCTGGCTAGTCCTCAGCCCAGGGTCCCTGACCGGCCAGACCAGCTCTGCCGACCTTCACTAGCTGTTTGCACAGAAACCAGTGATCTGTCGGCGTTTAGCCAGCAGCCTGGTGCCAGCAGACTGCAGCCAGCAGCGTATCTGTCCCATGCGGGGCAGCGACCGGACCAGGTGGCTGGAGGCTGGGGTCACCTCTCTGGGAAGTCATGCTCCCACTCAGCCTCGCTTTCTCCCGGGGTGTCTTGTTCTCCTTGGGAAGAACCCTCCGGGGGATGGACTAGCTCCCTCTTCCCTCCAGTGACGGCTGCCTGGCTTCTGCAGGGGGCTCACGCTAGGCTGCAGGTTTTTGAATGACCGAGGCTGGGGGGGTGCTGTGTAGGAAGGCCGGGGAGGATGCGGGCGGGGGGCTTGGGTCGCAAAGCCACAAGGTGCCGCTGCAGGCCGGCAGTAAATGCTGCTTAGGACCAGTGTTAAAGACACGGGGCCTGATTTTGATCTCATGGCAGCTTCATGCCGGGGCCACCCAGCTGCTTTCGGCGACGTTACTCCTGATTTGCACCTGCCTGTGAGAGCCGCATCAGGCCCATTCGAGGCTGCGGAGTTCTCTCTCCACCCAGAGGGGAGCCTGAAACCATCCGCTGCTTCCTTAGCGCCGCTGGTCCCACCTTCTCCATGTCCGAGTCCGGCTGAGTCTCCTGGCGGCTGGGTTCTTAAATCACCAATCCTACTTCCCTCCGGGATCACTCAGTCCCAGCACAGCAACGTCTCTTGCCCCGTGGCACAGACGGGCAATAGCCCGAGCTCATGGGCCTCCTGCTGGGTCTCCCTAGCCCCCCGTGCGCCGGTCGTCAAGCCAACCAGACTGATGGGCTCTGACTGTCCCAAGAACCTCGCAGACCAGGGCTCCGCCCCCGCGATGAATCTCGCCGGGGCTGGTTTTGTGTCTCCGACCCCCTCCCAGCCGGTCTCATGGGTAGAACCCGGCCAGCAGTACTTTGAAGGACCCACATACACATGGGGAGGGCCAGGCGACCGGGTTCACTGACGATCCCCAGCGTGGGTCAGGGAACACGGCAGGGAGCTCCCAGCCCCTGCGCACGATGGAAACACGCCCCCTCCGGACGAACGCCGACCCTTCCAAAGGGCAGTGCCTGGAGTGTGACGCTCAGGGCATTTCAACCGAGCCTGGGGAAAACACTGGAAAAGTGCCCCCAGGAAGGACTTGTCATCGTCCCCAGGAAAGGCTGGGAAGGGGCCTTGGGAACTTCCACATCGCACCTACATGGAGCGGCTCTTGCGTAACTCAAGGCACCGGATGGCACAGAGGTCAGCGCCCTGGATTTCGTGCTATATTTAGCTCAGGTTCCTGCCAGTTCCTAAATATAGAAGCTTTGCATCACCCGGGTGTTTGCAGTCCCTGAGCAATGCCCCGTCTGGCAGCCGCCCTACCTCACATGCTCCCCAGCCTCCCTCTCCCCTTGCGCGCACAGGGCACGGCTCCCTAACTCCAGGGCCACCTCACTGAGGAAACTCCACAACCTCAGGAGGGGTGGGAAATGGGGAAGGGGATGGCCAGCACCCCTCCCTGCTCCCTCGGCAGGCAGACCTCCCAGGTGAGTTTTAGGTCCCATTTCAGGAAGGAAGGAGAGGCAGTGTCCCAGCGCTCTGATCCATCAGCCAGGACCCCCCCATTCCGAGTAACATCCTATCCCCGACACTCCGTCTCCGGCAGGCCCTGGACTAACTCCCACTGCCTGGCCCTAAACAGGACGAGCAGCAAGGGTGGTTCAGGTCGGACATTCGGAAGAACGTCCAGCCTGTCGGGGTTAACACCGGGAGAGATTCCCCGGGGACGCTGTGGAATCTCCATCGCAGGAGACATTTCAGAGCAGCCTGGACAGACGCTGAGCTAGACGGTGCTGGGTCCTGCCGGGAGGGCCGGGGACTGGGCTTCATGCCTCTCGAGGGCCCTTCGTTCCAGTGTTCTGAGTCTTTGAGCCAGGGGCTGCCCCGGCTCATCAGTGTTTGCAGGGCACGGGCCCTTCTCTTCTGCCTCTCCCCAACCTTCTCCTCTTTAGGTGGGGCCACGGCACCGTCCTCCTCTCCCGCCCCACCGGCCAGGCCTCTCACCCCTCTCTGTTGCACTCTGCTTTCCAGCCAGTTGGACTGAGCCTGGCTCGTCAGCCCAAGCTGTGCAGCTCACCCCGCTCTGAGCCAAGGCGGCTCCTGGGCTGGGCTCACAGGGG